TTCTACCACTGAGGCACTTGGGCTGGGGAAAGGAGTYTTAAACTGATGTGGTACCTTTGTGAAGGTGGGGAAATAGGGTTCAAAATCCGTAGAGCTTACTACACAGTAGCAACTCTCAAGCAGTAGGTTGTGAGGGGGTTTTGTAAATTGAATTTTCCATTTCTTCTGCTGACAGTGCACTGACCATTGGGCAGGAGAGCTGGCACTGRTAGCTGGGTGGAGGGACTTGCSTCCGTTTTCATGTGGGGATAAATTGTAAAGGTGAGAAATCCACCATGTGTCAATTAAATCCCTGTGTCCTGCTCTGGAACAGGTAGCCTGAAATTGCCAGACTATCAGAGCTTTGTGTTGCCAAAAGCTGCTTTATTGCTGAAGAAGGCTGAGCTGGGCTTGGGTGCTTTACCAGATGTCAGAGACTGAAATGCTACAGTTTATGACTTAAACATTTTCATGACTAACTTTCTGCATATTATAGCAAAACTATGCAAAAGCTGCAGAGCAAGCCACCAAAACCCTGAATGGGACTCTGGCTACACTGCTCACTGCCCGCTGATCAAAGATAAGATACAGAACAACTCAGAGCTGGAGAGAAGGACACATTGRCAAAGGGATCACGCTCAGCACCTTTGGGTGGGGACCGTCCCCCCAGGGCTCTCAGCTGCCAGGCCAGCACAGAYCCTCACACCAAAGGGTGACGAGGGGACARGAGAGGCTTTGGGTGTGCTGTGGTCAGAGGCAGAGAAACGCCCSTGCTCTGCTGTGCCAAGGAGCTCGGCTGTGGGGCCCTGCATCCCKGGACAAGCTGATCCAAGTGATGTGGGCAGTCGAGGGGCTGTCATGGCCCATCAAAGACCCCCCAAAGGGATCCCCAGACCCTACAGCAGAGATGATGCAACAAATCCACAGTGTTGCAAAGGACAGTGTCAAACCGAGCCCCCTGCAGGGGTGACACGTGGGCGTTCCCAGCTGGCCCCAAACGTGTATTAATGCACTTGATTCTGTACTCTTCGGTGTGGCAGTGTGGTGGCAGAGCCAGGGACCCTCAGCACCCAGACCACCGGATGGAGGGGAGCAACGAGACCTGGGTCGGTGGGACCCCAGGAAGGGTGATAGGTTTCCATCTAACCCCTGTCACCTTCTCCCTGTCCCCCTGCCCCCACCCATGCACACTCTTTTCTATTTCTTTCTTTCTTCTCTCTTTCTTTCTCTTTGCCTCTTTTACTATCAAATAAAGTATATAAATTTTTTGGTATTAACATTTAATCTCGTTTGTTTTTAATCTCSTTTTTGGGAATATTTTGAACCTTTTTTCATTCGGTCCACTTTTTTTCACAGACASAGTTTCCTYTGCTCTTCTGTGATTAAATTGGATCRTAACACCAGATCCATGATTTTAACCAAGTCCCTTTTAATATTTCTCCAGTATRTTTGTGTACCTGGGCAGCACCATTCTTGCTGAGCCTGTGTGAATGGCARCATCAATACACTCACTAAATCCTTGTTGATATTCTTCTAAAGGGAAAATAAAAATCCCTTGACTCTGACATTTACAATAGATATTATCTGCTCTCTGACATTTGGGCTCATAAAGCGAGGTCAGCCAAATTTCTGCTCTAAACTTACCTGACTGTATCAGAGTAGATATGAACTGACTGGGCACCCCTTTCTCTGCATAGCAGTGCACCTGCCCCTTGCTCCCAGCATGTCAGGAAGCCTGGCAGTCATTTCAGTGATGATGAACTGAGCCTCAAGAAAACAAATGAACATCCTCAAAAGTGGATGGCGGAGCAGGAACCAACTGCAGGTCTTCTGTAGCCCACTCTTGCACCATAATGAATTATTTTTTGGGGCCCACAGGCATTCAGGAGTTCTGTGTGCATGGAATCAACAGTGCTGGCCCTGCAGCAGCTGTGCCTGGTGYTATCAATGGCTGCTGTGGCTGTGCAGCAGCACCCTCAGCGAGGAGTTTGGGTGGCAGCCGTGACCATGGTGCCAGTGCTGTGTGTGCAGGGGGATCCTGTGGCTCCAGAACTGCCGGTTCCTGCCAGGAAGGCTGGCTATGGATGGAGAGGGATGCTCTGGGCTGCAGTCCTGAGGCTGTGCCATGGTGGTGATACCATCTTGCTGTCTCTGACATACAGCCATGGCTTTAAAGGCATGAGGATCGGGACAAGGTTTTCATAACTCCTTTGAAGACAGGTCGCTTGAAGTGGCATTAACAGCGGTTACGAATCTGCATTAGCCCAGTGGGGATGAACAGAAACAATATAACCCTACTCTCGGCTCAGGAATTGGGTGAGTAAATGTAATGGTAAATGGATGASTGTAGAGCTGAGAAATATGAGGCTAAGACAGGAGCTGAGGCAGAAAAGCAGGGGGTTTACCTTATCTCTCTTCCCTTCCTTTTTCTTTAAAAGAGGATTCAAAATGGTAGTGAGTGCTTCAATAAAATTTTTATTTCTAAAGAAGGAGAGTGACAAAGATATATTTATGGTGGCACAAGATACTCTGTCCTGCTGCCCCTCATTAAGACAAACAGCTTTGAATGAGAACACTTACACTGCCTTTAATTTGGCATATACTGGGTTTAGTCAGCCAGCAGCACACTTGGCCTTACCCTCTGCCCTGATTAGGAGCCAAACTCACTGTAATCCAGAGCTTGGTGCATCATCACTTTGTCCTGGCAGCATTTTGGCACTCATGCGCACCGCAGAGAGACCAGCAGCAGCTGTGAAATTCACACAGCAGTATTAACCCTGCTGARTGAAAGGCAGGTAAGGATCAGTCAGATAACTGTTTCTGTTATGGATTGTGCAGTTTTGTTTGCTGATACTGTCTAAAGGGAAACAACTTAGGAAGACCACCTTAAAATAATAGAGGAGACTGCTGGGAGTTACAGTGCAGTGATGCTGGTGTCAGAGCAGGGGCACTGAGTCCTGCCCAGTAGCTGATCTGTCAGTGGCCAAGGCGGGGTGCCTGGGGAGAGCAGGAGACTGGGGAAAGCCCAGCATGCTGGACCCCTGCCCTGACCACTCATCCACYGCCAACACATCACAACCCAGCAATTTCCTGATCACCTTTATGGCTTTAAGCAGCCAAGGACCCAGAGAGTCCCAAGTCAGGTCACTCATAACCTACTCCCACATTTAATAAGCACATTTTTCTCTTGGGCAGGGCAGAGACAGGGAACAGCACAGAACAGAACTGTCTTTATTCACCTTCCTGTTACTATGTAGAGAATTTCCATAAAAAACCAAAACTGTAGCCTTGTTTCTGGAGGGAGGTGGAAGTAGCTGGAAGGTGTCAGGCTTCTGGAGAACATGGATGGGGGGGGAGCAATAGTTTGTCTGACATCAGACCAAGCCATTTGTACTAGTGAGGTTTTTAATCAGCCTCTCATAGCAGGATTGTGAAAGGTTGCAGTTTTCCAAATCTCAAGAAAATCATGGCAAAGAGAATGGAAAAGAATGTATAGTCTGTGTGTTGTGCACTGCGCATGATAACTRGCAGTTGAGTGGCACTGGGGATGGGCCACAAAGTTACCCTCTCAGGAAGGCATATCCAATTCACCCCAACAGGTGTGTTGTCTTGAATCTCCCATACTGTAGTGCCAATGGAAGTAAGCTTTCAAAGTTARTTTAAAAGCAAGGAGGGGGAGAAGATGCTGGGGGAGAAGGCATCACATGCCACTCTCTTTTAAGCTTTACTGTTGTTATTAAAATATTATTTACTGCATTTAACGTTTAAATTATTAAAAATAATTTCAAAAGAAAATGGATTTACATGATTTTGTTGATTTCAGGGCAACGAAGCTGATGAAGGTACTGGAGCTCAAGTCTAATGAGGAGAAGCTAAGGGAGCTGGGAGTGTTTARTCTGGAAGCTTAGGAGAGACCTACCGCTGTCTCCAACTGTCTGAAAGCAAGCTGTAGTGAGGTGGGGATCGGCTTCTTCTCCCAGTCAACTAGTGACAAGAGGACATAGCCTCAAGCTGTGCCGGGGGGGTTGAGGTGGTTGGACATAGAATTTTCTTCACAGAAAGAGCGATTAGACATTGGAATGGACTGCCCAGGGAGGTGGCAGAGTCACTGTCCCTGGAGATGTTGAAGGAAAGACTGGATGTGGCACTTGGCTGGATTTGATGATTTCAGAGGTCTTTCCCAACCATTTCCTCTACTTATGCTGATGATAGAACCTCAGATTACAATATAAATATCTTCTTTTTTTTAGTCTGGTGGAAGACACAGTCCACTCTTGCCTCTTTAGAGTGCCACACTGCGTAGAAATCTCAGGCTTTCCAGTTTTCAAATATAATTTTTTTTTTTAGAAGTTCAGTTTGTAACAGGTGGATGATACACCAAGTTCCAAAAGCACTTTGCTGGTAAGRAGTCATTTTGGCTACCTATCCCTTTCAATTCTTTAAATAAATGCTGAAGAGCTACAAATCACTTCAGCTTAATCACTTCAGTTACATTTTGTGTCCTTCTAAGTGTTTAACATGGTCCCAACAGAATTTATCATTTAGTGCAAAGAGGACAACGATACACAGCCCAACTCTATGCGGTATCACAGCTGAATATAGTTGTAAAGTCTTGTGGAGAGTGGAATTTGCTCCTTTCAGTTAACTCTCAAAGCCAAAAGCATCTTCTTCACCGGGCAGTTGTGTGTAAAACATGGATGCTCCTGAGAGCACCCAAATCCCAGCCTTACCTTCCTGAAGCAGGACGAGTACAGACCTACAGCCTGTAGGTGTCACTCGAACTGCACAGCAGCGTAAGTGCAAGTCAGGAGCAGGTGGGCCTTTTGGTTTGTTTCTTAAATCAAAGCTACCTCACATCTTGCCTGTTTTACTTGAAAAGTTAAAGTTTGTTCTGTTCTAATCAAAAGAGAACTAGAGACATACTGCTGATATGGTCATTCCCCACACCTTTTAATGCAAGTACGTTTTAGTATTTTAATGCAAATACTTTTGAGAAAGAAAAAGTTTTAAATGATTAWACTGTGCACTCTGCAACCACCTCAAGACCAGCAGCATAAGCATTTTCAGCCTTCTGCTTCCTTACATGTTCATCACTTACTTTTCTTCACCACTGCAATGAAGCTTCTAGAGGGGAACACACATCAAATGTAAAAGGACCCAAAGGAGCTGTCACACCTTCCCTCAAAATRAGAGAACTGAGAAAAATACTATTTCCAATCTTCAGTCTTGCAATATGATGCCAATTATAAACAATAGCTTTATAGAAGAATTTGTTACAGAAACCTACTAAAAGAGAAAGATGAAACGCTATTAGTTCCCAGATTTTGACACTGCTGTCCTGAAGGAGTGAGGCAATTGGTACTTGACTGCATGACTAAAAAGTGACAAAAAGGGGGATAGTGAATACCTTTTAGAAAYAGCAGGTATGAAGCCAGCTCTACATAAACAAATCAGCTAACTAGGGGGAAACATTTCAACCTACTGGCTTAATTACAAAATAATTATGTTGGCATAAAGAATGTTAGGATAAACAATTAATTACAAAGTTCACAGCTTAAATTTTGTTACATTTAATATTAAGTGGCTACCAAATAGAATTAAACCTGCCCTTATTAATAGCAAGGTAAAACAAAGATGGCATTCACATTGCATCCATTGCTTTGTAGCAAAATGCAGATTACAGAAAGTTACCAAGTTCAAAACAAACTTCTTCCTTGTATGTGAGCCAAAGATAGAGGCATTAATGTAGAAGGTACATAAAATGTCTACTGATCAACTCCAAGAGGCATTAACAGGTCACTTTTACATTGCTCAATTTTCTGCATAAATTTCAGAATTTTCAAAATTAAAAATTTGTTTCACATGGTGGTCTGAAGCAAGCACAAATCCTGCAAAAATGGAAAGGCAGACTTGTATACTTCAAACTGCATGTACAAATAACCCTGGATAAAAATTAAAATACAGTTTTTCATGTAAGTCTGAACKATGCAATGTCCATCCAGAGCAGAGGCACAAATCCACCTCTGTCTATAATCACAGATTTTATCCAAATACAGTGTTGTACTCAGTTCATGAATTACAGTGGGCAAAAGCCAACACTGGTAACCCCTGGAAAAGTGAATACAGTTCCTGAAAAACAACCGAACCAACCAAACAAAAAAGCCATAAATATCCTTTAGATTTCTAAAAGCTTTTAAAAACACTTTGTTGTCAAAATAAGGATTCAGAAGATGTTTTGTGGTAAGAATATTTTATATATATTTTTTTACACTTTTAACACTTACAAAAACATTCAAACACAAAAAAAAATTAAATAACTTTGGGAGCAGAATTAATCCTTCTGCCTACACACATACATCAATTCCAAGCTGTTGGCACAAAAAGTAATCCACATTCATAAAACCCTTACTACTATATCAAACATAAGTTAAGTAAATCATAGGCACTATTTTATCAAATCCATATTTCCACAATTCTGCAGTAAATCTCTAAACACAGAGCCCCATGATTTCCTGATATCAATGAACTGGTAATGCACAAAGGCTTTCTAGCAATCTTCTCAGGAAGTCATTTGCTGTATTTCGGAGGGAATAGCAGAGAAAAAAAATCCCTATAAAACTTAAGCTGAATTTACCCAAGTGATGAATTACTTAAGGAAACATACACAAGTTTGATGCAGCCATGGTAAAACGCCCAATATCATCATTTAAACTGACTTTCAAAGTTTATAAGTCAAGCAAAGTTTGATAAAATCCACCAATTAAAATTCCCCTTTCTTCAATGAAGACTGCAGCATTGATGTGTAAAACGCTGAAATATTAAAATTTGGGCTTTAATGAGAATATGCTCATTTGATCTAGTCCTGTCTTCTGCTGAATGGTGATGTCACATACYGACATCCACTCCCTGTACCTGCAGGTGACTCAAGGCTAGATTAGTGGTATGTGCTGCTCTGTACTGCTGAAAGGTGGTTTCTGCAGAAATCTGACAATTACAGTATATTTGATGTTCCGACTTTGAAGTCTTAGCACAGATCTTGGTCTGTGGTGTGAAGTTACCCATCAACCCAGAGCTTGCTTGAGTACTTTGAGCTGCAATTAGTCTCCACTCCTTCCTATTTGGTTTCTTCCAAGTCAAGTAGTATTGCATGGCTTTTCATCCAGGAATATGTTAACGTTAGCCTAAAATTCAAGTGCTATATTTTCAGCATTAGTTATCCTTTTAGAGGCAGGAGGCAAAATCCACAAGCAGTCCCAAACTCAGATACTAATGGGGTTGAAGGCTACCTACCGTCCAGTCTGACTTGTAGTGTTTGTCAGTCATTGCACAAAGGATATACCATTCACATTCTCTTACTTCATCAACTGTACATCCAAAATACTGAAAAATCTTCAAACAAAATCCCTTCCACTTAACTAGTCCCACCCAATACAACTTTAGCCACAGATTTTTGCATGATGTCTTCCAAAACAGAACAATGGTTCAAATGCTAAATATATCAGTCGTTCTGAGCAAAATGTGTTAGAGTAAGTCAGAGCCACCAGAGGAGTTTAATAGCTTGTAAACAGACATAGCAGGTTTCATACTCTGTTACCAGTAATGTAAGATACACATATGTAAGGCAAAGTACATATTTAAACACACTTACATGGGCAATATCTTCTGTAAAAATATTTACAATTTAAAATAAACCAATTTAAGAAATGGATGAAAGTAAAAAAATAGGATACAGAAAACTCCCTCATACCATGGAACATCACCTAAATGAATATCATTTGGCATCAAGAGTCAACTAATTTCCTTAAAATTTGTATGTTACAAGTGCATAGTTGTGTTTCCTTCTCCTTAACTATCAGCATTTTCAGTTGCTGCAGGCTGCAAGTATAGTGGTATGATATTAGAACAAATTAAAATTATCACTTGCTCTTTCTTATGYAAAGAAACCTGCTATTAAAAAAGTTTTCCCCAAATAGCAAGCCATGTGTTAAAAATGTGGCTACAATAGTGAAAGCCATCTTTCCTGAGCCAGGAACTTTAAGATTAGAAAGATTGTACAACYGGTACTAAGCCCTTTTGGCAATCTAACACAAGAGCACATAAAGCCAATAAATCAACATAGGAAAGATGCAATCTATACTATTGCATTTGTGTGTGTCTGCTACATTCAAACCTTTTAATGTGATAGAAGTCATGGCCACAACCCACTCTCCTGCCTAATCCTCCAGAGTAACTGCTGATTCTTCCTGAAGGATCTACGTACCACTGTCCCCAGTCACGATGTCATACAATTGTTAAAAGCAACATTTCCCTAGCACTGTAGCAGTCTACAATCAGAACATGAGCTCTGATTCATGTAGCCTTGTTTCAATAGTACATATTCACCAATCTTTCTGCTAAGTTAAAACAGACTGAAAATGAAGTTTTGGATAATGTATGTTGATAGTTATCCTTGCTATTTTTCAAGATGGGTGTTTCTTTGGCATTCATTCATTTTTGCCTAGACATTTTTGCCACTCTCATAAATGCTCATATTGATAACATTTTTAGCAAGCAATAAAAAGCCCCCAGAACTGATAGCAATTTTATGTAGAAGTGATTGTATGACCACCAAACATCTGATGTTAGATGTCATTAAAGTGCTGCTTTATAATAATCTCTGCCAGTTTGTGCTAATTAGAGACAGAGAGGTTTGGAATTTTTACAAATCCCAAGAGTCACATCTGAACAGTTTGTTTAATCAAGCTGTCTTTTAGCCTGGTCAGGAAGTATCCATGAGCACTGAAACTTTGCATTAAGCTTTGCAGATCAGTAGCAGCCATCTTTCCAACTCTCATCTTTCACGTTGCCGTATGTCTTGGGAGTGGGTAATGATCTAAAATGAAATGAGAAATTTTTCAGTTTCATATATAACTGCTGAAGTCTTCATCATAAGAATTTAAACATTTAATAAATAATTGAAATATACACTTCATTTATTTACTTCTCTGTAACACAGTTTATACTTAAGATAAACCCAAAAGTATTTTCAGTTTCAGGTTGCATGTGCTGTATCTTGGCAACTACCATGTCTAAATAAATAAAAAGTCTAAATAAATAAACAGAAAACTTATTGCTATTATACTCTGTGAAAATGCAAACTTAATCTGCTTCCACCTAAAATAGGCCATTTTTTGTGATGCATATAAACAGGCAAATCCTTGTTTAGAATATTACATTTTGCTTACATCAAAATCTGACATTTGTAGAAACTCRGTTACTGCATTGTGTACAGAATCTGCATTATAGAACCATGGAATTGTTTAGGCTGAAAAAGACCTTTAAAATCATCAAGTCCAACCATTACTGCGAAGTCTACCACTAGACTGTCTTGAATACCACATCTACACATCTTTTAAGTATCTCCAGGGATGGCAACTCTACCATTTCCCTGGCCAGCCTGTTCTGATGTCTGCCAACTCTACTGGTGAAAAAATTTCTCCTAATATTCAATCTAAACCTCCTTTGGTGCAAGCTGGGGCTGTTTCCCTTTGTTCTTTATATACAAACTTAAAAAAAAAAAAGGGCAATTAAAAAAAAGTTTAGTAAGTGAAACACTCTTCTGTAAGACAAGCTGTGATTTGGACAACCACACTTCACTACTATTACCAGCTTCCTGGCAAAACAACTGCTTTTTATTATTGCTGACCAGTGCAGTCTCAAAACTGTAAACAGTCAGTGCTGTGACAGTCACTCGTCATTCCCCTGCCCAGCACTCAYTGCAGAACAGAACTTTTCCACTGTGCTATTTACCACCATTTTATCTTTTTTTACAGTACTAGAGACTAATTGTTTTTCCCTTSTGTTTACGGAGATTCTTAATATTTTTCATGGATGACTGCTTCTTAATGTCAGCTTCTACTTGACACCTTCAGTGAAAACTGACATTCACAGTTAATACTCAAGTCTCTCTTGCAGCGGTTTCTGAAAATACACTGACACCAAGCAGCTTCTACAGCTGAGTGCTAGCACAGTTATGTTTAAGCTAAAAATTCTGTTTTGCCCTGTGGGTTAACGGCAGTGATGTTCATAATAAGTTTAGAAATGCTATGGATGTCTCCTCTGTCTTTATGCATCTTCCTTTTGGAAGTTTCCAGCTGCCCAAGGAGACAAACTACTCTAACCATGGTACCATTGTCTGAGTTATGGAGGCAAGTAGTTCTGACTTCAGAATGTGTCACTCAGTGACATAAGTGAATTTTCTCTTGCCAGCTATATTTTGGTAACTTTTTACCACATGCAGATAAATTCTTGCTGCCTTCTCAGCCCAGACTATGACTTTATTTACTTAGTTCAGTATCTTCTGACTCTTTCATCTTCATTCTCTCATTCAAGAACCTTTTCCTCTCAATTTGGATCCAAAACTAATTTGGAAATACTTCACATGGAGGTCTCCATTTCTGTTCTGAAGACCTTGAGATCAAAATACCAATTAGAAGAAGCAGCGCAAATACACACTGTACAAAATTCATTTTGAAAACTTCAACCTAAGATTACCTGTCACAGACTCACCTGCGAACAGGCTGTGCAAGTTTGCTACGAGGCACTGGGATGCCCCCCGTGGAAGGGGCACTGGGTCTGGGCAAACCACTCCTCATCCCTGCTGGTCTGGTAAGAGTAGTACTGTTAATACTGCTGGCAGGGCTTGGTAAGCCTGAGCTCTGTGCTGCAAGAGGCCCTGGTGAGGAACTACTGTGCGTCAGCTGTGCGGCTTCTGGAGAGGCAACTGAGCCGGGTCCATGGTTACTGAACGCTTTCACTGGTTGTCGGAGCGCTAAGGGAGACGGTGCCGCAGGTGAGCGGAATTTACTCGAAGAAGGTACTGCAAAATACAGAAATTGGTTTCAGCTTATGTTACAGCATAACTGAAAATAAAAACTGGAAATTATGTGATTATACAAACAGTATGAAATGTATAATGGAATACAGCCAATCAAGCAGCAATGAGAAACAGGAATTCAGATGTCCTCTTTGTCATGTGTTTTTGATATTGTAACTCTAATGCCCTCTTTGCTTACTACAAATATTGTAAGTAATCYTAATAAGGCTATAACTGTTATATCAGTCAAGTCAAAAGAGATAGAGGAGAAGGTATTTATATATWTAACTGCTTCAGAAACATRTGAACTTAATTCCCATCCATGAAAGAACATGTTGCACAATGCAGTATTCTAGTGGGACACAGTCTTTACATTCAAAGTGTATGTTAGCCATCAATGATGAAATTTTGAGTGCAGAGCATCTTGGTGTTTCTTTTATGCTGTTCTTTTTAACCACTGAAATAGAATTCATCTAAAGATATGGTCATCTCCTACATTTTCTGGCAGATGGAAAAAAACAAAAAAAGATGGGGTCATCTGTCCTGGTTTCAGCTGGGATAGTAAATTTTCTTTGTAGTAACTGATATAATGCTGTAGTTTGGATTAAGGATGACATTAGCCAACCCCCAGTGGCTGAGGTTAAGGTGCTGCTATGAAACTTAAACCAGACAACTCTAACAATTTATAGCCTTCCTCTTCTTACAAACATTACTCAAATTATCAGTATAAATAATACATGTTTATGTACCTGAGTTAGTATGGGGAAGGTCTTGTTATGAAGTTCTTTCTGAGATAAGTTAATAAGGCAGAATATTCAGCAGTCCTTTAATAATGCCAAACCTTATGCATAATTCTTCACAAGTATGAGAAATATTTTCTATTACGCATAATTTATTAGTGAACAGAATACTTAGCCTATAATCTTCATTTCACCAGCTTTTCAAACTGACTAGGGTGGGTCAGTAAGAGTCAACACAGGATGATCAAATAAATCACATAACAAGAACATGTTTACATTTAGTGAATTTGCATGAACTGTTTTTTCCTCTACTGAATAAACATTTTATACTGAGACCTAAGGTGCATCATTTTTGACAAATGTTGTATATAAAGAAGCTGGTCCTTAACACAGCTTTTATTATCATTTTCAAGGTAGATCCACTAAGAACACGATGAGTGAGAAAGAAGAGGAGTAATGACAGGAACATTGCACCCTAAAATGGGGTACAGAGGAACTGGTACTTTTGAGATTGTATTTTGAGGCTGTTTCTTATAGAGGATGTCTAGGAAGATAATTAAGTACCCCATTACAGATGTGAATTGGATTTGATTCCTTTCTGGATTACYCAAGGAGGCCTTTCCCCTGATAACAATATCAAACACGGCATAAAACTGCTCATGGGAAAAGCTGACAAGAAAAAGTGACAGGTCAAAAACACATGACAGTTATTAAGTGGCAGGGAGAATAAGTGAAAAACCTTAAAATAAAAGCTGGTGTCAAGCCAGAATACGGATTAAGGAAAGCATTAACAACAGAATGAGTGGACAGGAAGAGCATCAAAGTGCTCCTAGGACTCAGATRTATGACAAGTTTTAAAATGTCACCTTGCCTGTAATATTGGTGCAATCAAATGGACAGAATTTCCAAGTGACTCTACAGTGTAAATGTAGGAAGCTTTTATCACTGAACCTCTCATTACAATCCTTGGAACACAAAGTTAGCAGCACAGCACCAAGTTAGCAGGTACCAACAGAGCAATGCCAGTGTATAAAAACTGGATGCAGCTTTGGGCCACTTACAGGCACAAAAGGGAAAAGGTTTTTAGGAACGGAATATAAGCAACGAAAAGTTGCAACTGAAGAAAGCTTGTCACATTCCCAGCAGAATCTAGTAAAACAGTCTTCTCCATTCTCTTTTACCATGCTGCAAACTTGAGCAGACCATATTTAACCATGCTGCAAACTTGAGCTGTCAATTCATAAAACATTTCCTGTCAGCACAGCATTGCAGACATTGCTGAGAGCCACATTCATGCTTGGACATAAAGGAGTGAATTGTCTTCCAGAGCAGTCCACATGATGCAGTCTGGCAAACTGCCTAATAATTCTGTTTTACACATAAAAAATTTGGTCTCAGAGCAGTTTTGGATGTTCACTGTAGTCAGTTTGTAAGACAGGATCACAAAGAGTGAGGGACGGCCTCACAGACTATTTGATCATTGGGTACCCATGTACACTATTGAGCTGATCCATGGTTAACAAAGACATGTAAATGTGTAAGGGTAGTGCTTAATAACTTTACACAACTCAATCTCCTTAGAAATAAAACTAGGAACAACTACAACTAAAACATCTGGCAACCAAAAAAAAAAAAGAAAGAAAAAGGCATGGTGCAGTCATGACATTCAGATGTCCTACCCTCTCTGGATTCTGTCCTGGATTGTGGGCAGGGAGCACGAGATCTCCATGTGGCAAAGTAGGATGCTGTGAAGCTGCAAACTTATTTGGCTTGCACTCCAAGGCCAGCTGCTGCACACCAACTTGAAAACAGATTAAATTCTAATGCAGTTGTTAAATCACAACCATCATGATGAGATGAATTAGACCAACATGAAAGAACAGATGAGGTAAAACTACAGGAATCAATAAACTGATCTGCCATCTCAGTACAGGGAAGATGTGGACCTGTTGGAACAGGTACAGAGGATGGATAAGCACCTCTCCTATGAAGAAAGGTTGAGAGAGGTGGGGGTCTTCAGCCTGGGGAAGAGAAGGTGCTGGGGATACCTTACCACAAAGTGGTAAAAAAACAAGCCAACATGTGGGTGAAAAGTGTCAAGCTATGTAATTTACAGTATTTTAGAAAAGTAAAATCAATTGTTGCTCAGCTGTTAATTCTTCTGAAAGAAACGTTTTGCTTCATTACTTCAAAATATGTCTACACTCATGAGGATCTCAGAAGAAAGAAAATCAACACATCAAGGACTATAAAATAGCAAATAACTGAAAAAGACAAAGTAAGTAACTGAAAGGGTCCTCATTTGCAGTAAGGAATGACAGCAGCCATAAACTGGAATATGTAATGGGCAGTGCAATGTGCTCTGTTCTTCATTCTCTAAGGTTTAATGAATTTTTACAAATAATATAAAMTCAAAGAAAAGCTTATTTCCTTTACATTCCTACAGGCTCAGAGTGGGCCATTGTCCTAGTAAGTGTTCCAGACATCCAGAGGAAGGTATGGGCCAATTGGAAAGAAAGCTAAGAAAGCTCTGCAGAGGAATAGTAATGGTGKTCTTACGTGAAAGCAGAACATTGTGAGAACTTTACTGGTATGAAGTATGAAAACTGTTAAGAGTCTTCCTCTGAAGACATGAATCTGTTTCACAGTCATCATACTTCACTTAAACTTTCTGCATGGCATGAAGATGACTCTGAGGGGTTGGCAATGTTAAACCCCTGAGAGAAACGCACATTCTGTCAGCCRCCCTCATGTGTGCACAAATGACTCTTACAATGCTAAAAGGATATAAGCTTATGAATTAGTCTAAAGCAAAATATAATCTTTAAAATGAGATCTTCTTGGTTGTAACAGACAACTGACAAACTAGGCTTAAAACCAAAATAATTGTTTACCTTAACTGTGAAACTGAGGCACTGTACCTCACAAAGCTTGTCTAATTGGATGAGAGACACAATAATTCATTTTCTTTTTTTTTTTAAAAAAAGAGCCAAATTCAGCCATTAGCAAACTGGAATATTACACACAATAGTTCTCAATTCATTGAGTCAAAAAAAACCTAATTAATCTATGTTGGGATTCATCTCCTGGTTTTATGAGGAAAGGAGAAAGCACAAGCACATGCAAGTTGATCGTCTACGCTCATCTTTACAAGGATACATTTGTTAGCATTTTTTCCAGCACAAAGGTTTGTATTTTTACAATACAAGGGAATATTCCTACAATGTTTGTTTTAAAAAATATATTTTGCAATTAAAAAAATTCCTATACAAATAAAGCCTTAATGTATTTAGTTTACTTTTCTAATCCAAATTTCCTGATTAATGTTAGAAAATCACCATTCCTTGGATTTTTATCTCAAAATTCCATCTCCAATATAACAGAGTTTATTTCTAGTATTTAGACCAAAAAGTTAACTTTCATACAGCAAGAACCACTGGATTAATCTCTACAGAAACTGCAAGAGCAAGTTTATTAATCTAGAACATGAGAAATTTAATGCAAGCAAACCATTATCTGAGATTTGCTGGAGCTTGATAAGAGGTTGTAAGTTAATTACCTCCTTTTGTAGATGGAGTTTGAAGAAACTGTTTGGTTTTGAAGGCAGCACGAGGCAAATTTTTCTGCCTTTGCAGAGCTGTTGAAAGACAAGAAGTGTTATATTTGTCTAGGAAGATAAGAAAACTAAATTTACTGGGAATTTCAGAATTGCATCCACTGGTGAAGCGTCAAGTGTGAGGAAAACACTCAAAAAGCTGTTATGACTCTGGAAGTGATGGGGTTTTGTGAATGGTGCTTGCTCTTAATGGCAAAGAATTACAGAGGAGTGTGTCAGAAATTTTGCAGTGCAAAATGCGCAGATTTGGTAATAGTAAAGCTTCTTGCAGGGCAAAAAGCCCAGAAATGCAAAACGAAAATTAAAACACCAAAGGGAGAACAAGCCACCTAGCAAACATGCTACAGCAATATGAGAGCAAGATTAGATAGAAAGATGAAAATTAAACTGTCATATTTGACCTAGCAAAGACTAAATTTTTTATTTTAAAAGGAATTTTCATTTTTTCAGAAAAATATTCTAACASTATACAAAAGCATAAACCTTTGTCTAATATAATCATCATATAAACAAATTGTATTTTTCAGTTACAAAGACTTAAGCCTTTTTGAGAGATGTCTTTTTTCCCCCTCTTCAAAAGGGTATGCAAGAGAACTTAGCCTTAAAATGAAGACTTTAAGATTTATCAGCTGCCAGCATGTACACAGCATGATGGAAATTAGTTTTTATTGCTTCTTTGTTCCCTTGGCCTTCTGTCTAGTAACATTCAAGAGTTGGTACTGCCTTGAAATTACCTCACTATCAACCAGTTACCAAGAGAGAAACCAATGTTGAAAGAGCTGCAGAATCTTGGCATGGAGAGAATTACTTATTGCCAGAAGGAACGCATTGACTCAGCCTATTTTCACYGCAGCATACTGAAAGGGGGGAGGATGAAATAAAGCTTTGACTACACAGAGATTTGTAAAATGATAATGTATGAATAAACATCTCTGCTTACCTCAGTGTATGAAGTTTTATACCACCATAAAACTGACTGCACTAGCAAGGCTTATTTCCATAGTGAGAAGGAAGAAGGATGGGGGAGCAGGTGTGCATAAAGATCCTGACCTGAGTAAGGAAGTTCAATAATCCCATCACCAATTAGTGAATATCGCTATAAAGTAGGTAAGGGAGAAACAATTCAAATCCTAATATTATTCGTTAATCTTTTTGTTTCATAGCATATAATGATTGCTRTCTCCTTTTCTAGCCTTCAGTCAGTGAAAATACAAAAGTATTTCATGAACTATAAAAATTCAAAGTGTGTTTTAACTTCATGCTGAAATTACAACTAGGCAGTTTATTCAGTTTAGTAGTAATAACTACCTAAAACTGTCATGTTCAACAAACAGCAAAAAAGAATTAAAGTGCTAATAAACAGAGTAATATGCTACATGTGCCTACTAATAATAAAAATCTTCTTTGATAGAAGAAACTAGAATCTAATGCAAAATAGCATGTGACAATATCGAATTCTTACTCTGCTGGCACATGGTCTTCCTAGAAACTTTTTAAAAAGCATACATATGAACAGTCAATTAAGCACAGTAAGCTTTTAAATTATGAGCACAATTCCTAGAAATTTATTGAGGCAGACCACTGGCCAGACTGCTTCAGTCCTCAAGTATTCCACTTCATTATTTCTTMCTGAATCAGTGTTTTTCTTATACCGCACAAAATGAAGAACAGCTTCTTCCTTCATACTTCATTTTGTCCTAATTCACTCAGATTTCAACATGCTACTGCACATGGCACTTTCTTCCCCATCATTATTCACACTTCCTGCAAGTCAGAGATGTGGGATGATATGGAAAGGATTTTAAATATCCATGTATCAAATTCTTTCCTTCTCAATGGAGACTCCAGGAAAACAGACACTCAATAGCAAAACATTTCTGTACACTGAACCACTGCAAAGAGCTTAGGCAGTGCAATTTGAGCAATGCTGAGCAAACATGCAGTTTGAGGTAAGCGCCCAGTGCGTRTTTATCCACACTACTTGCTGCTCTTGAAGTGCTCTGTGTGGTGTGACATTACCTGTCACAACTGCYGCATACTGAATACATGTAGTTACATTTACTTCTGATCAACTGGAGTACTTAGTTTCTTCAAAACTTGCTCTTCCTCCTTTTACTCTGAATATGCCAAGCAGTTGGCAAGCAGACTTGTAACTTTATTGATAGTCTGAACAATCTACAGCCCTTCAAGAAAGTTTTATATTTAGCTCTGCCTAAAARCATCCACGTGCTCATGTACTTTTGTACTAAGTACAAAAGCACCACACACAATCCAAAAGCAGGGAAGTCTACATGGAAGCCACCCTACAGCTTTGTAGAATCTATGTGGTATAGAACCCAAATACATATTTCCCATCACTAACACTTTAGACAATACCTAGTCTTTGGAAAACACAGATATTACCTTATCTTTCAGTGTTTTAAGGTGAAATATTTACCAGCTTTCATATTAAAAAAGTACTTTCTGCAGAATGGCATGGAGAATTAGATGTACATGAAGATCCTAACTGATACAACTGCTATTTAATTCACTCAGTCTCTTTTMAAAAATAATTTGGATTGTTCACCACACTGCAGCTAGAAGTTAAAATGCCAATGTTTTCGTGTTTTACAGTTGTAGCTGTAAACACATCAGATGTGTCTTTCCTCTCTTCTGTAAGCAAGCATATACAATTTGGCTATAAAATTGTAAGAGGAATTGTCTTTTCAGAAACTTACTGGATTCCTAGCTCATTTTTGAATGCCAGCAACCATAGCAAGTTCAGTATTGCAGCCACAGCAAATGTGCAAGTAAATTATGAACCGCAAATCTTTGACAAGGAGCAAAGTAGTGACCTCGGGTGGCAAGCCAGCATCCTTGCAAAGGTAAGCTCATGCAAAACTAGCAGGTGTATGAGGAAGCTTCAAATCCCAAGACCCAGAAATCATTGCCAAGGGAAAACAAAAATTTGCTGCAATTTAACAGTGCTTTGTGCAAAGTGACAAAATATAAAACCAATAAAACAAAAAGTATACAATAAAAAGGACACAATTCTGGAAATTTTTATACAATGTACAGTTTTGCAGAAAATTTTTTAATCCAGACTAAGCAAAGATACTTACTCATTGACTTCACACACAAACCGTTTTACGATTGTCAATAGCAAGACTCTGACAAACATCTGTAAGAGCAGGGAAACTGTAAAAGCTAGAAATCTGGGCTTTATTAATGATACTTAACTTACATTTAAATGTAAGTTGGTCTAGAGTGGTTCACATTTGGGGAAATAGTCTATGAAAGAAAAGCAAATTTACCTAGTAATTCTTAATGCATCCACAAGTTGAAAAAAAGAAATATAAACACCATCACCCCACTTTGGCTGCTGCAATGAAGTAGTTGACTAAATACTGAATACTGAGACTTCTGYTGTCTGATCTTTCCAGAAAGTTTAACCATAAATATACTTTTAATTCTGGAAATAGCTTCTAGTTAACTAAGCTGCTCTCTATGCTCTTCCCTTTCCAGTTTACTCAATTCTAAGGCAAATAAAATCTGCAGAGATTTCTACTAAAAATATTTTTCCTTCATTTTCTTTCAGATTATTTTGATAATTCTTCTTGTCACTGAAAAAGCACAGCAGTAGACCTGCTGTCCAACTGCTCTGAGTGCTTTACACTTTGATTAGCCTGCCTAAYAGGTAACAGTTGTGCATTAGAACCACACAAATATCCTTTCAGCTGGAAATGCCACCCTCTGTTTGCAAAAGGTGGAAGAAGGGAGCGAAGGTGAAAGAATGCTGCAGTAACTTATATGAACAATGGTAAAGTCTCACTAACTTCTCTCACTATGGTGTCACACACCTGTCTACACAACTCTTWTTTCTGCTCTAAGTCAGTACAGAGCTAGAAATCTTGTCTTTGGCATGGTTGGGATTCTTTATTCTGTATTTAACTGTACTTGGTAGTTTTAATATACTGTTTTGAAAGTTTTAATACAACCRAATAGGTATGCCACTATGCCTTCACCGTCCTACAGGTAAAAACTCCCTAGTTAAATTCACAACCATTATTTTACATTTCCTGTCAAATATTTCGATTGCTGATGAACTTTTATCATGGGGTTTTYATAGTTCAAAGCTCTACACATAATAATATTCATAATGTATTCTTCCCTTGAAAATGTCACACAAGGTTATTAAATTTAGAAACCTGTTTTAAAAAAAATTATCAGAAAACATTTGAACAACAGGAACCGGCAATATTGACATATAAGGAAACACTGAATATTTAATTTTCATTTGCTTTAGCTTCCTTAAGGTCACCATTTTCAAGAGATTTGTGAGAATAACAGCATTCAYGTATCAGCAGTTAACTTTTGGACAAACTAGCAAGCAGTAGTCCAGCAATGGGCTAATGTGTTTTATAAGACACAGGTTAATTCAAACCCTTTTTTAGGAAGTAACTGACACTTAATCAGCAATTGAATATATCACTCCCATATGCCAAAAAAATACCAAAAAGAATGCAAGAAATGCAAACAAGGGGTTAACTTAAAGAATGAACACTTTCTGATCAGGTTTCACTAGTTAAAAAAAGAGCAATAAACATAATCTAGGTGTTTTTTCAGAGCCTAGAAAGAAATCAGATTCTGACATGCCCAAATACTGTATTTCTATTCTTCTTGTTACTTCTACATATGCTTATAGGAAGCTATGAATGACACCTTAATAAGAAATTGGATGCTTTTTGAAAATTTTGTGTATCATAAAAACAGATTCACAAAGGTCTGATTAAAAAACAAGATTAGCATCTCCAGTATGGCATGCAATGTTTTGCTTTGCCATGAGGCTGGAAGACCAAATACCATCACTTAATTCTGAAATTCATATTGAAGTAGCACTAAAGGTACTTACTGGCTGAGGCTTGAGGTTGAATGCGAGGTATTCCTCCATTTGGCACTTGGAAGTTTGAGTCACTTCTGCTGTTTTTCACAGACTCAGCTTGGATGTTAGAAGTCCTGGACAAGTTTGGAAGACTACGCCTTAGTTTCTCTGTATGAAACAATACAAAGATACCACAATGTGTAGTCTGATGTTGGATAAAGGTCAGGTTGCAAACCCATAGCAGAACCCCAAATGCAAGTGACACAAAAATGTTAGCCACATAAAACTATACTGCAATTTAAAATTGGATTTTGTTACATTAAAGCTTCTCAAATCTATCACAAAATATTTATGTATCTAAAAAAGCAAGAATGTAAATTTTTCACCTATGGTGAAAAAGGTCAAGTATATTGTGTTTTGAAATTTGAAACATATCTGGATTGTGGTTCTCTGGGTTTTGTTGTACTATTATGAAAACTGAGCAGACAAACCTAACTGGTAGTTTTGCACAGTTTTCAAATTATTTACCTAGAAAGTTACAGCAAAATGCTTGCCTGAAGARTAAAAACACATAGTTGTTTGAGTAAATTTTTGAGACTGCCTTGTCCCATATCAGACCATTGCACAACAAGTAACAGCCTCCCACTTGGAAAGAATCTCTTCACACACAACATTCAAAATTATTGAAGTGTCCAGTTATGCTTCATCTTTCACATATGRCTTGACTTATCTACTCAGCTAACACCGGTTCTTCACGTGCCTTCTAATATTTGTACCACTGTTCACAGAATACAGAAAGATGCCATTAAATATTTCTCAAATCTAATGACATTCTGTGTATCTCCAACCCATGCAGAGCTGGGTTGATGACATACTTTGAATAGAAGACTGCAGATGCCTTGACAGGATGAGTGGCCAACCTGATTATGCAGATGGATGCAGGGAAGAAGTGTGTTAACCATGCACAAGCACTAAAGGTGAAAACCAAACTAAGTCCTCATTGGCTGAGTATTCCAACAACTGTACTTTCTGCATCAGCAGTTTGTATTGTTTTGCACTGCAGCTGGTACATCGTTGAACCCTGCCAACCAAATTTCCCTCCAACCATTCTAGACAAATAAAGTTTTAAAAAACCAACCAAAACAAACAAACAAAAGAAAAAACCTGAACARCTTATTTTGGCTGCTGCTGTATCAACTCTGAATACTCAAACAACAACCACTGCAAAATAATTCCTTGGAAGTGTTTCAAAAACACACGATTGCACACTCTATTTTGATCCTTCTGGTATGTGGGATACTAGCTTTTGGTACCTTTCCTGGGATATTTTCATTGCAGCACATCTAGCATGCATTCAGACTTTCATTTAACCCCAGAAATGAATGGGAAAGGAATTGTCAATTAAGTCAAAATATAATCGATTAGCTTTTGTGTTGTATATTTTCCTGAATACCTAAAATTTCCCCAAACCACTATYACTAGTCAAAGGAATTCTTAAATATCTAAATGTGTATTCTTCTAAGCTTAAGATCTCAYTTCCCAGATAAAAAATATATTTGTTGAAATGGGAATATGCTCACGAAATTTCATCCCAGTAAAAGGAGTTTCTGTCAGCTTGTTACCAGGAAAAAGTACATTCAAGAAGGAAAATTATATAATATTATATTATATTATTTTGTTCTATGCCAATACAGTATAATTGGATTGAATTTACTGAAAACTTTATTACACAGCAGCTTTCACAGCTTTGAGATATCTAAAATATCCAGCAAATACATGAGTTAAGCACTAATGTTTTTAAGACTATGAACAAAAAGTTTTAGAGTCTGTGTAACCAGAAGAAAGTATTCAGCTGCCTCCCAGGCTACAAGCATGAATAAATCGCCATGTTATTCTTATCTGACCACTGTTACTTTCCTCTGCATTTATTCTGCCATTTGCAAGACCTTACCCTACTAGTAAATGATAGTTTCTCTGCTTTATTTTAGTACATTTGCCTGCCAAATATAGACCCTCATCACTATGAAACTCAATTATACTCATTGACTGGATAACATCAGCAATAAATATAAGCCTATGAACTCATCTGAATATAAGGGTGCCCCAGCAGAAATTAAGCTTTGCTTGCTCTGCATTTTCTTCAGCAATTCAGAGATTAAACCATGATGTTACACAGGCACATAGTTATAAAACTGCACACTGACAAAACTCCCTTACAGAAACTACACAACTACTTGTGTAATGAATTTCGGACAGTTTTTTACCTTCACTTTTGACATGACTAGTTTGCAAATCTGTAGGATGGCCTTGAAGCGAAAGACGAGGTTGTTGTAAACGGCTAATCATAGGCTGTGGTGACACTCTGCTGTACTCTATGCTTCGAGCAGGTGATCGGGAGCGAGGTGAGTTTCTTGGAGATTGTTTCGGTGAAGGCCAGGGAGAACTGCGAGGTGAAGGTGAGAACCTGCTGACAGCAGGGTGCACTGTGTGGTGTGTGCCATCTTCTTCATCTTCTAAGCTCTGTGCATCAAGCTCCTGGTCGCTGAACGTGCCTCGCCGGGTAGAATTGCAAGAGGAGCCAGAGCTACGTCGAGAAGCTGTGGCAGCGTACTCTTGCCGCAGGCCTGGCAACAAGAAGAATGTTGTGTACTCACTTCCAGCCCACAAATGGTTCAAACCAGAGCCAGTGCACACACATAGCTGTACAGTTCCGAAACTCAAATTTGGCTCACCTTAACTCCTGTTATTYGAGGCATTAAATAAATTCACATTAATACCAAAAAGTCAGCTACCAGCTAATAATGACTTGAAACACRTCGGTGAGCCCATTCCTTTTCCTAATACAGCAATCATCATATGAGTATGTTGTGTACTTGTTCATCTCTTCTTCCAGGCTSGATACTAGCAACACAGGCTACACCRTCAATTTGTATGATGTAACATCCCATAATAATTAGAGCAGCCACAACGAAATGTCTCTTGCAATGTATTAGTAACTCTAACCAAAAAACCAACATGATAAGCCACTCATAGAGAAACTGGAGTTTTCAGATCAGTAGTCTCCAAAGTGTGGTGCCCACAACCCTGGGGACATGAAAGCCAATTCACTGGAAGAAAATTCAGAACAGCTAATATTTTTAAAACAATATTTATCTCATCTTTATCTCATACTTTTAAAAAWTATAATTTTGTGTATATTTGTGCATTTTTGTGTACATAATATATTAGAGTAATACATGTATATAGTTTATTTAAAAGTACTTAGTTTATTTAAAAGTATTTAGTTTATTTAAAAGGGCATTTGATTTTGGTTTTTTTCACTAATAAGGATACACAGTAATATAGTTTGGAGACCACCTAGTWAGACAACTGAAATTATTACCACTTTCTGCAGATTCAGAGGGACAAAAAGACAAGTCTTAACTAAAGCTACAATAAAAGAGAGACATGTATATAGGTGCTTCTCTTAACTATTCTTTGCCATATTGACTTTACATTTTGGAGATTATTTAAAATTTTTCTAAAGTGGTTTAAGCACTGATGTCAACACRACTGAATTATTTTGGGAACACACCTGTCTCCTGAGAAGAATGGTGGTAGGCAGTAGTCCATTCCAATAGTCATCATTTTAGCCAATACTGTATCTTAACAAATTCATACTCTCCAGCATTTTTTTGTCAATAATTCCTGAAGTTGCACAGCAACTTCCTTTCCTTAGCCTGGAGGCTGAAGTCCTTAACCAGCTTTCTTACCCTTTTTCCCATCTTGCTAAGCAAGTGCAACTGCAGTTATTCAACCAAAAAAAAAACCCAACTCCAGCAGCTCTACTTTGATTTCAAGGAAAAAACCCACTTACTTTCTTCCTGCATTCGTGCTAAAATTTGCACATCTGTAACATCATTTAATTTGTAATTAGACCCAATAGAGTCTTCATCCATCTCCGATGCACTTAATTCACTGTCCAGAGAGGACTGTGGACTTAGAGGAGGATTTCTATCTCCTGAAATTTTAAGATGACCTATGAAAGAAAATAAAGTAACAGGAATTGTTATTTAAAAAAAAAAAAAAAAAAAAAAAAAAAAAAAAAAAAAAAAAAAAAAGGTGAGCTGTGTTTTCTTACCTGGTAAAAGACACCACTGTGAAGAAACTGCTACTGAGACATTGATTTGACCGACCATGTGAAATATTTGATTGCAAACCTAGGCTCAAACTATAACTTACAAAAGCAGAGCTTAGCCATTACTTTCTAGAAACAGACCTTATAAAATAATTGCAACAGTGTCYAAACAGATCAGTGGCATATAATTTGGTGTATCAAACCATGTTTCAACTGCTATGAAGTTTGCAAAGCTCTACAAAAAAAAGCAACTGCATACCTGGTTCCATTTGTGCTTTCATTCTCACCTCTTTATACTAYCTTGCAAGATGTAAGTTTGACTTGCAATGCATATCTTTTTTAATGATAAGGACTTGCTGATCCAGTGAATATTAATTTACTTTGGAATGCYTGACATACACTTTATCTGAAAATACTACCCGCTTCATGTACACACGTTTGCTAAACTGCAATGTGGAAACTGTAACAAGGAATGCTCTTCTTGTTTGCCGCCTTCTAGCTGACACCCCATTGCCTGTTACATCCCTATTCCCCAGGCAGATACATCATTGTGGCACACAACCCAGAGCAGAGCTACAGAGATTAAAACAAAATTTGGGTAATGGCCCTGGTGCACTGCAGACTTCTATAAAAGTCCACAGTGAACTAGTGATTGCTGGATTATCAATGCCATGTTTCTACACCTTCCCTGTAAGATAACTTAGAGTATACACAGTAAGCCAACAGTCTGACTTCAGAGTAGAGGTATRGTCCCAACATCAATTTTTCTCATGCAAAAAGTCTACAGTGCAGAATAAAACTAGAAAACATTGCCAGATATTAATGTTTACATTGATGGCTGCCAAGTCTTATGGAAAGCTTAATTTAAATGCATGCTTCTTCCTTATATTTTACTGTTCATATCTCAGAGGTATTGATGGATACATTGCATACCAAATGTTTCAGTTAGTAAACAACAGGATAATTACACTGACTTCACAACCACCAGCCCCTAACCTCTGAACACCTACTATGGTACTTACATCCCTGTCAATTCCAGAAGCCATTACCTTGCAACTCCACAGAACAAACTCTATGTGCTTTGGTTTAACTGCTAATACAGCGATTTTTGGGACATGGACACTCAAATAAAACATTTTACATGCATCTCATGTCAGAAAGTACGTAAAAAGCCTTTCCAAAAAACTTAAATACTGCATGATGCACACATCCTACAAAAGACTGAAAAGTTACGGAGTATTTCTTACTCTAGTTTGATGCAAATATTGTCGATTTGAGCAGAGTTGTGAAAAGGAAAGGAGAAAAAAAGGGAAAGACCAAACACACACTTACCTGAGGTACCAGGAGGTATGAGCTGTTTCACTAAAGCAGATTTCACTGGTGTTGAGGAGGGAGAGTTGAAACCACTACTGTAGGGGCTACCAGTATTTGGACTATAGGAGCTTGCGTAACTGACTGCACTGAAAGGGCTGCTGTACAAACTCTGTCTCTTGAGAGCTATAGGAAAGAAGGGAAAAGTGATGAATTGTGCTGAATGAGTCAATGAAAAACAAATACTATATTATATCTTTGGTGTGATTTAATTACTATGCAGTTCAAAWAGAAAACTTCAGTCACAGAAGTTTTTCAACTGCTTTCTTCACTCCTAAGATAYAACCATAATGTGAAAAGAGTGGGAGAAGAGGGCAAGATGAGATAGTGACAAGTATTCTTGTATTAGTCAGACCTAAGATCACTACAACTGATGTCTTCGAGATGTGCAGCGTCGATGCTGGGAAGCAGGACAGTAGTAGATCAGTTACACTAAGATACATTCTATGCACAATTACATGCAAACCAGAACACACCACAAAGTCAAATATTCCAGAACTCTCAGACCTGTCTAGATCACACAATACTTCCACAATAACCCCAAGACTGGCACCACTAAACTAACCAAGATCACCTACAAAATTTCCCTAAGCATATGCTAAAATAAAAAAAAAAACATTAAGTAAGGCAAACACTTCTGTTTATATTTCTGGGTACCATGAACCTACCAGACTAAAGCAAAYTGACTGTAGGGATTATTTCCTCCTGTTAACCTTCTGTTCTAAAGACTTGGGATTTTTTGTCCATATGCTTCAACTTCATATGCAATATAAGATCTAAATTGGATACTCTCCTCTACCATTTACTGTAAATATTTCAACACTGAAGTATTTTCAGATTAATTTTAAACACTGGCGAATATTACCAGTGGTGAACAGTATGACACTGCAATTTCATTATTTGTCTGGTGTTTTATTTGTTTAGTTACTTAATGGACTATTTGTTCAAAAACGTACATTTTTAATATAACAGAAAATGGAATTTCGACASGGGTAATGGGATCCAAAGGCTATTTACACACTTTTACTGACAATCAGATCCTTCCCTGCTGAAAGTCTGTTTATACAGAAGAGTATAAAAGAACAAATTAAACTGCAAAACGTTAAGCTGAAAAAGCTAAAAATCCCAACTTGATGGTATGTAAATCTAGATTAGATTTAGTTGCAGCTCACCCAGCTGCAGAAGTAAGCTACTCAAAAATACTGCATGACATTTCTCTTAGTGAAAAAAGGCTTCAGTGAGTGCAGYAAGAATTAAGCTACTGATAGTAGTAGAAGGAAAAAAAAGGAACTGAACTCAAATTTCTTTACTAAAAATCATTGTTGCCTTGATATCAGAAGCCAAGAGACTACAGTTGCCTGAAATGCTGTTTTCAGCAGCAAAGCTTCAGCTTCTCCTCCCATCCCCTTTGCTCTTGGTCACTACACCCTCAAGTTGCCCACTGCAAACAATGGTGGGGCTGTGCTATTATCTGGCCTACTAAAGTACATTTAGGTTTAAAAAAATATCTAGAATATTTTAACTGATTGCATAATTTGATTAGTTTTTAGGAGCGCCCCTCAAAAAAACGTATCGTCCAATCTAACCAATGGCAGAATGTAGCACAGAGGCAAAAGCAGCAGATATTAAAGTTGACTTTGCAGTGAATTCCTAAAATTGYATCTCATGTAAAGATCCTTTCTAATCCAGTTAATATTACCAGTGTTTTAGTTAAAGTGAAAAGACAGATATGGAGGAAGGATGGAACATCTATATTCCAGCTTGCATTGCAAGTCTTAAACAATACGTGTTAATTTCAGAAATCAGTGAATTCACTAAATTCTAGCAAGTATTCATGAGGTATCTTCARTTTATTTTGAATGTCAAAAGGGAAATCTGCATTTTAGTACAAGTAAACAAAACCAGCAATTACAAGTCACTTTATTCTGGGTGATTATGATGAGGTCTTTAATATCAACTTCTTCTGGCATTCACAAAGTAACCCCAAAGTATCTATTCCAATTGAACCTTTGTTCTCACACACAAAAAAAATTTGTTTTCATCTCTTGCCGAAAATGTCATTAAATATCCCTAAAATGTAAGTCTGCATGGCAGTTCTTTTTTTTGCATTTATTACACAGACTAGTATTTTAAAATACAAAGCACAATAGAAATCAGAAAACAACTATACTACTGTATAGCCTTCAAAACAGGCTCTTTGTACACATCCATAATGATATCTGATCATACACAGATTTTTTTTTATGAAACTAAGCATGCTTTTGCTACATAGAAAAAGTTTGCTCTGGCACATGGTGAGACTTGCTACGTACAGTAGTCTTCATCCTAGCTAATGTGAACCTTCTTAAGCATTGTACACTTTCCCAGAGATAAAAAAGCTGGATTCAAACCATTTTTCTGGATCAGAATTCCTAAAGGTTTTCCAACAGGGACTTCTGTAACTCAGGAAGACATTATTGTTATTTTTACAAATAGACATAKAATCTTTAATGGGAGTGCCAGACAAAATCAGCAAATTAACTCATTTTTAACATTAAAATGACCCTAATATTAGATGAAGCACTAGCTTACAAAAGATTACACATTAGCTTTCAAAACATCAGAGGGGAGGGTTGATGATCAATGGTTTTATCTTAATGTAAATTTTCTTTTATAACATTCAGAAACAATGTGCAGCATCTTATTCCTTTCAGTTATCATTTTGTTGAAATGGTCATGAATCTCTCTTCTGCAGTAGAAAACAGGAAAAATTCAGTGCAGATTACACCTAAGGTTCCCTCTAGTCTGAACACACTTCCAACACTCAGCTGGAATTGCTCTGCAATTGTAAATCTGAACTAACTGCTGACAAGGCACTGTGCATCAGTAACTGCTCACAGTAGCATGGAACTCAGAGCTGTTCTTCCCTCCTTTATTATCTTGCAATAGCAAATATGATGGAAGAAGAAAATGTGAAATACAAGAGTGCATTTGAGACTGAAAAAGAGGAAAAAGAGATTAGATTAGAAACATGTAACAACAAGAACTAAGAACGTAAAAATAATCGATGCAAAAGAAGCACCAGCCAGGATTCAGAAAAGAAAGTTACACAAGTGTGAAAAGCCTTATCCATGCTTATCCATACTGGAATCTATGAACTAAACCAGTAGCAAGTAACAGGTTAAGGGATGTGTCCATGAGGTACAAGTAGGATATAAAATGCAAGTCACAAGATACTCCTGAAGTTGTGGAGTAGAAAACACATGCAAAKTTGCAAGAAATACTACTCGTTTTCTCCAGTGGAGCTCCCTGCTACAGTGTATCTGTAAAGGAGGCTGGCTGCTCTAAAGGACAACTTTCTATTCTGTTAAAAATTCATTTTTACATTCAATCTGCTCCCAGCATGTGCCRATCCACCAATTAGTATTTCCACCTATTACTATAAGTATATAGTACTATAGATTAATTGTGGTATTCTTGCAAGTATCACTGCCAGAAGCAAATTTTCAGGTCTAGGGAAAAAAAAAAAGGAAGTAAAGTTACCTAAACTCATTGTATGAATGATAAAACTTTCAAATGTGTCCATTTCATAGGGAAGCTTCCTGCTATCTGCTTCAGCTATGAATTTTTAAAGATACCCTAAAGGTAACAGAATTTGTGGTATTTCTGGAATACTTCTACTGACTTCTGAAAGAAGTTAAACCATCAACAGAATTAGCGAAATCAGCTTCTACCCAGTCTTAAATACTCAGTAGTATTCAGATTCCCAAACCTGTATCATTGTTCATAATAAACCTCTTTGGTCTAAGTGCTTTTCATTGTTTAGAATCTCAGCCTTTGCCTATACCAGGCATATATCATGATAACTGTTCAAGAAAATTTTTAATAAACATTTGTCCAGGCAGCATAAAAAAGCACAAGAAGTAGGGAAAGATCAAAGGTGACTCATACTGAAGGCACTTTCACCACTTTATTTTTTAACTTTTTATAAGAATAAAAAATGGATTCAAATTTTACTGACAACAATTTCAGTACAAACCAGAATAAAGATGGAATTACTCCAAACAGGACAAGGACAGGAAAAAAGTTACAGTCGAACTCATCAGAAAGTTTACATATAATCATGGAAAGGAGGTATCTCTTGGAAATACTCCTGGAACTGTGTGTTCATACACTCTTAGCTCAAGTCCAACCATTCTGCTAATTGCTGARGGTAACAGTTTAATATGTAGCAATAGCAGACTACAAAAAGATGGAAGGAGAATAGCTATTAATAAGAAGAAAATTAAATTGTCTTAGCACAATTTAAAAAACAGGCTCTAACAAAGAAATTAAAATAAAGCAAGAAACCAGATGGACAGAGAATTTTAATCAGACCTTCAGGTTTTTGTTGGTTTGACATACAAAAGGCTGGTAATGGAAAGATGGTGAACATAGACTTTCATTCCACAGGGTCAAACCTTCTCCAGTTCTGAATATAACCAACWAATTAGTGTTAAGGAAGAATCACGAACTCTAGATCATTTTAAATCTCACTATAACTAAATCTTAAGTTACTAGGTATGGGAAGAAAACAGATCAGTAGCATCTCCCAAAAGCATTCAAAAACTTAAGCTTCCCTTTCCTTAGATGAAGTAAGAGAGATAATCCAGCAGAAAACCAAGTTCCATGCTAACATACTGACAAGCACTTAGTAATTATCATAGCTTAATACAGGCTTCTRTTTTAAAAAAGGCAAGGAAACCTTCAAGTTAAAAGCCTTGTTTTTTTCTGAAAACATCTGACCAAACTATGCATGTATTATAAACTCTGAAATCATGACTCATGACCTAACGCCTTCTTTCATTTCATTCATCCAATCCAGAAAACGAGTAGGATTAATTACTATTTGAAAACCATAATGAAAGCTTCAGACACAAGTAATTGAGAGATGTCTTATTTCACAACCATCAGCTAATTTTGATGCTGTTTCAAAATAAATACATATAACCCAGTGGTTTTAGTATGCAAGAACTGACCTGACATTGTTTGTTCCAGTCTGTGGATCAGTGACTTTTTAGCACATTCAACGTCAGGACTTGGGTAATCCAATACCTGTCTGCACCAAACTAATGGACTGACACATTTTTGCACTGGATTCAGTTTCTTCTTTGGAGATGTATATAACCTGGAAAAGAGAAAAAAAAAGTATTTTATTGTCTGAGAACCAACAAAATGAGTGTATGATCAAGCATGMAATAAAATACCACAGAGTATGCTACTTTTATTTTCATTCTCTATCTACACTTTAGTACAATCCCAAAAGATAAAGAAAGCACAGATTTCACCCTAAAATTAACTTTTTTTGGACAGAGGGTAAGAGTGATAACATGGCTACCCAAGGACTTTGGACACATTAAGCATATGGAAAAATTCACTATATCACAAAAAGGTACAAGTAAGGATTAATCTTAGAAATCAAGCACTATGCAACAGAGAACTCTTGTCTTCCTAAACAAAGGAAGCAGTAAGCATCTCAGTAGCCAGGGAACAGCACTACAATACATAAAACACATCTGCTGTTTCACTAGCAATGAACAACAAACTATTATTATTTACTATTTCTATCCTAGTACCTGATCTTTTCTTTCTCTTTGAACGCAGAACAAAGGGACTATCTCTGTCCTAAGCTGGTTGTATATAGTCAAGCATTAGAAACAAATAAAGAAATAATGCACATTGGAGAGCAGAGARAAATAATGAGATCATATTGTTTTGCCAAACATGCTGAAGACTTTGCCTGTCAACATCTCCATTAATTAAYTTTAACATCAACATTCCATGACTGAAGCAAGTAGTGGTCCAGCTTAAAGACTCTAAAAATTTAGCTGAAAACATCTCCTCCTTCTACAGACAGATTAAAGGAAAAGCAATAACCAATCACAAACTCAAAACAGGGAACTTTAAGCCTTGTGTTRGACTAGAATCAAACTTGGAAATGTGGTTCAGCAAAAGACAACACAACTCTAACTAGAGCTTATGCATGTGTAGAAACAGCTAAATGAGTATTATTTCTAGGAGTAATGACAGGCTTCATATTGCAAGTGAGTATGACTATGTCACACAGTAACTCTGGAACATCTGACAGTCTAATCAGACATGGTTCTGTACAAAACACACAGCGAAAGTCGTTTTCTTTATGCCAATGACATTAGCAACAGAGAAGTTATTTCCAACAGCTKTCATCTCTATAAGATTATCTCATCTCTCCTCTGTAATTTACAACTTGAACTCTCTTTGTGTTATAATAACTTCTGGAGATTTTTGAAATGGTTATTACTACCATTAAGTTCACTTCTTACAAAAGCTTCCTAAGAAACATGTTTATAACCACCACTCACCCAAAACACTGATCTTTGTTAAGAGCAAGCTCCAAAAGACTCTTCCCTTTAACAGTAGAATTAGCAAACTATGCTTGGAAATCCAGGAGAGAAAATATTTATTAGCTGCCAGGTTTTAAAACAAAAATTAAGTTTTTTGTAACAATCCAAATAGTCATTGCCACTTACTATAGCTCAAGTGGTGTATGCTCTGGCCAATATCATGCAATCTGTCATAATTGATTTTGTAGAAATGCCTACAATCTTCACAGGCACTCAGCCCAAAGAAAAGCTAAAAGCCCAACACRTATTTATAGCTCTAAATATCCTTGAAAAGCACGAGAATCACTCAATTTTTACAGTTCTGTGTAAACAATGATCCCACTTTCTGTAATTAAGGTGACTAATCTCCATACCGTTAAAAGTGGTTTAACATTTATTATCTCTCTTAACATTTAAAATTTACTGTCTTTTTAGTATTTGCCTGTACTCTTTTCTGTCCTAAGCTATATTTATACTGTAYGAACAAGTGTCAAAGGCAACAAAGCCAAGACTTTCATCCAGGCCAGACTCACTCCTAGCTCTCTGGATAGCTGACATGCCTTGCTGTGTTTGAGAAGTTCCATGCACATTTGAAGTATTTACAGTAGTACCCAGTATAAAAGGCAAGAAATTGAAGTGTGTGTCCTCTTTGAGAAACTCACACAAAAAATGTTCTAATCAAAATTGCACCTGGTATGTTAAGCTTCAACACATTCTTTTCAGGAATTTTCCATTTTGCATTTGTTTCACAAGTAGTTTATTTACTGAAGCAATACAGGCTCACATAGCACCCTATTTTTCCACCTCCCTTTCTAACAAAATATACATTGCACACTGTCCCACCTCTTTCCAGTCATCTGCTTTCTTTCATCAGCCTTTGTTTCATAATTTAGACTTCAAGGAAAGACAGAACTTGAGAACGTATATTGTTCATGAAACTCCACTACCTCACACGTATATACATCAATGCAGTGACAAACAGCTTTTTTGGGCAGTTTCTTGCATTATAAAGCAGTGATCTTGATATCCCATCTGACAAAAACAGCTAATCTCAAGTTTTGMGACTGACTTAATTCTACTTGCTATGCCTAATTTGGATTTTGCAAAAACCAAAAGGACCAAGAGCAAGGCTATAAATCAGAGTGACACCCCTGTACCTCTTCCTCACTTCCCAACAGCAGGAAGGGAAAAAGAAGAGATATGATGCATGTACAAATAAACTTCACACAGCTAAGTCTTCTTTGTCAAACTACCATTTGACCCAAAAGCTTTAGCTCCCCCTTAGCTGAAGAGCCTTCAAGAAGAGATCCCATTTGAACCTGTCAATGCATWCTACAGCAATGTAACAGCACTGATTGGCAGCACAGCAGCTTCAAGACTGAAGATTACCAGAGTAACTTAATACATCTTTAACCACTATAAATCAACTCTCTCAAAACAGGAAGTTAAAAACGACTGAAGAAGCTGACAACTTACAGTTGCCACCCATACTACGAATGTTAACACACCAGAAACATATACTCAAATCTCTCCACAACAGAGTAAAGACTCCACAATTCAGTGACATAATGACAAGTAAAGGAAAATTATATATAAAAAGGGGTCGGGAGCTTTGATCTATTTTGAAACAACACTATAAAGACCAGACACCATGATTTGGCTGCAGCCATTAATATTTCCTTTCTTTGGCTCTCACTAGTTAACTATGCCACAGCAGCACCAACYTGAGGCTGAAACAGCCACGGGCTCTACTGATTAGTTCCAGGAAGATCTGCACAGAAAAGGGCAGAGCTTTTGCAGACAGACTGCTGTGACTACAAGCATATATGATGTCAGCCAAATGGGGCAAGCTGAAGCATGCTGCACTGGGACACAGCTGAGTCAGAAAAGGCTTTGAAGAAGAGGACACACCACTGCAGTAGAAGTGGAATATCTGTGTACATATTACTTCACCTGAGAAACACCTCTTACCGCATTAAAAAAAAAGAGGATAGTTGCCACAGGCATGAAACAAGAAGCCAAGATTCTAACTGGGGAAAAAAAAAAAAAAAAGGTCAAAATTTTGTATCAAAATCCTTCCATTGCTCAGTATAAGAGTGAGGGAAAACATTCAGACAAACATGAAGTCACAAATCTGAATTAGAAAGAAGATGGCATGTGGAAAGAACTTGTAGTAGAGCTTGTTTATTTTAGCTACATTGGCTTTAAGCAAAAACTGGTAGGTACAATAAAGGAAATTAAATGGGAGMACACAAAACATGATACAGACAAAAGCAGGATGAAAACCATGAAGATACGATGAAGACAAAAAGCTGAAATCCAAGGACAGATCATCAAGAAATTCCCCGTAAAATACAAGAAGGAAATTGCACAATGAAAAGCTACTGAAAATACATAAATCAGAAGACAATAATACTGGACAGTCTTAAAAACAGATAATTTAGAACACAACAGTGTTAATCTAAACTCTCTTAGAACAATGTAAAAGTTTCAGGAAATCCTATCTGAAGCAGCTTAAGTAAGTTAAAATTCAAGATGGATTTTGAATTGACAGGTTAAGATCTGAAAAGCACCTCTGTGTAAAAGAAAAATAAATACAAAAATTAAGTGACATCCCTGCATGTATGTGGCCCATAGAATTTCTCTTTCCTTTTCTCCCCATCCCACAAAGTTCTTGTGCTACAGCTGAAGCTGAGACACACATGGCGTAGCCTGTAATTATGACTTTTCAGGTCTGCTTCACAGAATGCTGCTAGTTCTGAGAGATGCACGAATTACAACAAATTCCAGTCTATGAATATAAACTCCAGGATATGAATTTTACAGAAATGCTTTGACAATCTCATTAAACCTTCATATTAAAGTGACACATCTCAGCGGCATGACGCAATTTTAAAGCAGAATTGAGAATGGGCAAGAGGTTCAAAGCGCAATTTGGAACACRACTAGCTTTCTGTATCCAACAATTAAAGATAGCTAGCTGTGCCCTGGCTAGTTTCTGGAAATTACTGCCATTATTCATTTCCTCATCCAAAAAAGCATGTTGGTGTCTGAAAGGAATGCTGTAAAATGGGAAAGCAGCCATCAAAAGCACCATCATGTAGCCTCCCTAAGAACTATCACACAAATTGTACAATTGTCCACTATTTGAGAAGCTTTTCATCAGAGATTTGTTAGAGCATATGTGCTCTAATGTAGCATTGTTGACACTCACAAAAAGTTGAGAAGTTCTGCGTCCTACTAAATATGTTCCAAAATAAAATTCTGCTTAATAACTATGCTTGAGGGCTCTATCAAGACCTATAAGTAGTTGAAATATGAATCATGCCTAAACAAGACACAATTTATATAGTAAATTTCAGGAATATCATTAAGATAGTAAAGGAAACTCATATCAAAGTTTTCATTATATCTAGGTATCAAGCACATTTAAAAGCTATAATAATCACAAAAGAAGTTAGAAATGGATATAGTTCTTCCTTAGGATTCTTCCTCCAATATAATTACAGCAGTGGGATTTCATTCAGGTGGAGCTCTATCCTAAAATAATCATGCTATACTTTACTAGCTCACTATGGCAAACCAGGATTCCAAAACAATGTTAGTGTTCAAGGGACATCAAGCAATATGAGATGGAATACAGATGACCATCATGTTATCTCAAATAGGCCCTTGGCCAACTAACGATAATGGATGGCTAGAACGGAAACTTACACTATTATAAACAGGTGCAAATTAGAAATAGCTSCTCAATGAGAGTGTGTATAACAGTAAAAGTATGTGCCTTCCATTTTAACTAGTCAGGATACACAACGAATCTGAGGTCTCAAAATCACTGAAACTATTACTTTGAACTATTAAGTTACTACAAAAATCCCAGCAAYAATTTCACTTTAAATACAAAATAACTGCCTTTTGTTTGTAAGTGAGGTCAGTCAACTGTCAGCTATTTTCACCCTACCAAGGAGACTTKATGCTGACATGAAAACATGGGTAAGTGCTAGGCTAGTTTTTATAGCACTGTCATTTAAAGAGGACAYAACTGTTCTGAAGTTCACTGAGCAATTACACGTACAAAATAGATACACAGCRAGCTCTATACTCTTTTATGCAGATGCTGCAAGTAAATTTTGAAGAAAAACACTGCATGTTTTGCTCACATTAAAAGAAAACTTCTCAGAAAGCTTAGGTGAGTGACCATGTAACAAGTTACCACAAAGGAAGTTACAGTAGATTCAAAGCCCATTAACTAATCTACAGTAATTGCCACGTGTGCACACTTATCTTGCAATAAACTAAAGACAGCTCTCTTTTTAAAAGCAGCATAGCAAGCCAYCCCGCACACTGTTATCCAGATGTCTTCAACGTGCTGCACATCCACACCCAACCCTACCCAGCAAGTCAAGCAAGGAGGAGCACACCACTTCTCTGAAGATTTCTCCATTCTGGTCTTCCCTCTGCCCTTTCGTCTTTTTAATTAATTACTAAGAAAAGACCCATTCAGATTGAAATTAGAARATAATTAAATTTGATCCAATCTGGTTCAAGAACAGCTAAATAGGAACAACCATAGAATAGATCACAAAAGTCACTGATGACTTGAGAAAATAACCAGCTGGCCTAAAGTAAAGTCTCCATGGGACTGTCTAGAGCTCAGTACAGGGTGCAAGTACAGATGTGCCCATCTGCAGCCTTCAGTACCCCATCAGGAAGAAACTTTCAGCACATTAAACAATATTCAGAAGCATATGGACAAGAAACTCACTCTAAAATCACTGAAATATTTTTAATAATTTATCACATAATTTGAAGATTGTCTCATGCTAAAATGTTTAAAACTTAAAGTATATCTGGATTTAATTAACCACAGAGAAGGCAAACAATCAAGCAAAAATATAAACAATCCCCAAGTTCACTAATACTGTAATGCTGTTTTAATAGCTAATGCTGCTATTGAAACAGCAGTGCCAAAGYTCCTTTGCTTTTTGATAGTAGTACTTTCCCCTTTTTCAACTTTACACTTCGCTTCTGTATACTTATCTAGACGCAAAGAACTGAAAGCTAAAAACGAGCTGATCAACTCTACAATGTAGACTTTAAAAACAYGTCACATTTCAGTATCTATTTCAATCACAGTATCAGGCGTTCTGTCTTAAATTCACAGCCACTAATCTCATGTGAACATTAGATGTAAAACAATATATTTTAACAGTTAAAACACTATTTCTTCTGCCATGACAAGGCCACAGAAAATTTCATAATGCAGTATGAAAATGTGTGTATTACACAAAACAGAGAAAAGAAAAATGATAATCAGCACCCTTTATAATCTATTATTGCCCACGGAAAGGTCCTTCTGAAATCAAAAGACAAAGCTACACTTCTGTATGTAGACAAGCAAAACAGGCAAGATGAATAATTTTTTAATGAACAAACCATAATTTAAATTTAGTTTGTTTCCACAAGARGTTTCCTCAGATGCTAAGTGGTCCTCGATTTTTACAGTGTATAATCCCATATTTTAAACAGGATTTTGGGTTAAGTAGTAGTGATCCAAATCCATTTGAACCTCAAAGAATTCATATGAGGCTTAAATTTCATAAAGTACATTCACCCTTTCAGTTGATTCAATTATTTTCTGAGTGACCTTGCATAACCATGGCCTGATGAGCAGGATCTTTATGAAACAGTTTAAGGGGAATCCACTTATTCACATTAACCACTCCTATCTTCAGAAGCTTGCTGCTTTTTGATTGCTCCACTAGCCCTGTAAAAATTTCCAATTTCATAAGAGCAATTACYTCCAATAACCAAAAGCATAAATACAAAGTCATCTTGCTTTCATAAGAAACAAAAAAAGGATTGGACAAATCAGTGTCTCAACAGTTGAATTAAAAGGTGTTTAGAAATTCCAGGAGCTTGATTTTAATTTTTATTAAGTACTTTGGAACAAAAAATCATCAATCTAGTCAAACTATGTTTTGCATTAACTGCATATTAAGCTACACCAGGAAAAGACAATTAAAAAACAACCATATTCATATTTTTATATGTATGAAAGTAAGTAAATTTTTACAATTCTTCTTTTTTTTGTTTTATGCATTTGTATCCCAATCAGTGTCCCATGTCTGAGAATGAAAATTAGTTGCTAACACATTCTAGCGTTATAGTTGTCAAAATATTAGTAAAGGAATGAAGACATGGAAAAGACTGCGTATAAGTTTTGTTATCTTTTGAGGACTAGAACTTGCATAGAAACATGATGGTGCCACAATAACTGGCAGCCAAACACCTGACACCAGCAAGGGCAGTGCTCAGTGAACCATGCGGCTGCCCCGTGAGTGCACAGAACTGCGTCAACAAAAACACACAGCACTTAATGCCACCACTGTCWCTATATGCTCTGTCAGGACATTAACTCACACTAAAGAGACCCATTATGTTGTCTACCATTTATGATTAATATATAAGCCAGTAATACCTATTGTCACTAGAATTTGTGACATTTACAAATTTGGCCATTCCACTCCAAACCTGCTGTGCAAATTTGCCATATTCCAGTTCCACCAAGGGCTATAAACCAATAGATGACAAGGCACACAATGAGAAGTAAGAGTAGCTGCCTTGCACAGATTCATCTTCTGGGAGATGATGCCTTGTGTTAATTTAGTGTTGGATGAGAGTAAACTTATGCTCTCATACTCCTCCAGTGGATCAGGCTGAATGTCAGGCAAATTACTCCTCCAAGGAAGTGCACACAGTCTCCTCCCTGAGCAACTAAAACATTGCTCATGCATGGAATCATTCCAGCGTTTTTAAAGGCGTTCCTAACTCTGAAAGACATTTTTGCTYGTTTTGTACATTTGTCTGCATATTTACTTCCAAAGACCTTCGTAGATGATCCTACAACCAGTTCTGCCGCAAGTCAGTTAGCCTGCGTTACACTTTTTGTCCCTTTCATGCTTTCCTTGCACTTCTCCGTTGACACTCTGTTGACACTGTGCTCCTCCCCACTATTTCTCATGCAGCTCTAAGGCTGCTCCTCAACAACTGTCATAGGAAACTTCAAAACGACAGCTGGAGAGAGCATGATGTTTGGAGAAAACAAGTCTTCTTGATTCTCAGTGGAAGCTCACCCAAGTGTAATAATGACAGGGCCAACAGCCACCTGCAGCTGTTTCGGCTGGAGCAGCAGGGCAAGCTGTCCATTTAGAACGAGGCACAACCTAAGGGAAACCGTGATCCTACATCATTAACAATAAATTAGAAGACCTAAGCGCAATACGTTAATGAGATGAAAAAGTGTTAYGTTTGTTGTCTTCACAGCTGGAAGAAATCGAGGCATAAAACACGAATGATGTATGTCTGAAGTCTAACAGTACCTGTGGGCTAATTCTGAGCTACCCTAGAAATTTCCCACAAGTTTCTCCACGCCTCCCTACCTCCTGAACTCGCGGAAACACTGCTGGCTGGTTTTGCGGCAGCACTGGAGCCCGGTCGGTGTCCGAGTGCCCCGCAGTAACGCTCCCACCACGGCCGARCAGCCGCGCACAGCCGCGGGCCTCCCGGGAGCTGCGACGTCGTGTGCAGCAAGCGAAACACCCTTCCCCGGCCGGCTTGGTTCGTCTCGCAGAGCTTATTAATCCCTCCACCCAGCCCACAGGTTGAGGCTGCCTCAGCACACAAAGCGCCGAGACCCCTTCCGATATCACGCCTGGAAACAACCCCTTCCTCCCAGGGAAGCGGGAACCGAGCCCTGCCCGCCTCCTCACCAGCCCGCCCCCGCCCCATCCCCACCCCGGCCGCCTCCTCACCAGCCGGTCTCATCCTCATCGCAGCCGGCCAGCCGCTCCAGCTCCTCCGGCCTGAGCACCGCCGCGTCGTCCAGGAGGCCATCGCCGCCGCCACCGCCCCCCTCGCCGCCAGGCTCCTCGAGGAGCGAGCGTCGGGCGGCGGCCCTGGGGCCGAGGGAGCGGCCGTCGGGCGACGGGGAGGCGGTGGGGGGCGGCGAAGAGGGCCCGGCGCTCGGCAGGCGCTTGGGGCTGGCGGGGGCGGCGGGCAGGGCGCCGTGGCGGCTGCGGAGCTGTTCATTCTGCTTCTCTAGCTTCTTCACCAGCTCCTGAAGCTTCCGCACCTCCGCGTCCGCGTTCACGCCCGAGCCGACGTCCTCCATGGCGGCCGCCCGCAAAGCGGCGGCTGCGCGGGGAGAGGCGGCCGTGCCGCCCCGTCTACGCGGCCGGGCGGCCGGCGGCGGGGCAGGGCCGGGGCGGGGCGCAGGACGCACATCCGCCGCCGCCGCCGCCATGTCACCGCCTCCCGGCCCGGCCGCCGGAACCGCCGCCCCTCGTGCCGCCCCCCTCTCCTCGGGTGGCCCTGCGGGCACGGCACTGTGCGGTGTGGCACGGAATGGCCCGGCCCGGAGTGKCCCGGCCCGGAATGCCCCGGTACGGAATGGCCCGGCACGGAGTGTCCCAGCCCGGAGTGGCGTACTATGGCGGCAGCTYGCCAACCCGTCACGGGAGTTGTGACTCAGCCACGCCGTCTGAGGGGCTCGTCCGGCACTGTCGATCTTGAGGGAGCGGCCTGGCCTGGGCTGGCCTCCCGTGTCTTGGGGAGGGACTGCATGTCCCAGACAGGAGTTATATGGGAAGCCCTGGAATACCTTCCAAAAATGTTAAAAACCTGTCAAGAATACAAAGTGTGCCCCTGGTCCAAGGCTTAGGCAGCGGTGTTGGGCCTGCTGTGTGTGACAGACATGTGRATTGAACATCTCTTGAGTTTTCATTTTGTTAAATCTTCCATTATTTAAAGATTGTGCTGACRTTGCCATCTATTGCAAAACTGACACGTTTAGGTTTAAGGCATTAGTGGGGCTTGGAGGTTTGTCAAAGAAGAAGAGAATGGTTGGAACGGACTACAGTGGTTGATCTGGTCCAACTTTCCTGCTCAGGCAGGGTCTTCCTAGAGCACRCAACCCAGGATTGAGTTCACTGGGCAACGTGTTCCAGTAGAGAAGTTCTTCCTCATATTCAGGTGGAACTTCTGTGCGTTGCTTTCTGCCCATGGCCTTTTTCCTGTTGCTTGGGAAGTTTTATGTCTTGTGACATACTGTCTCCAGATTTAATCATCTGCATTGTGGGGTGCTCTGCATACCTCTTCCCTGAGCCACTGAGGGGTGGTATCCTTAGTGYCATCCTTTCACACTTTTTTTTCCTCCTCCCAAGTTCCATCTACCCCACAGCTTCATATTGGAGCCTGCATTTGCTGGGGAGAAGAACACCAGTAAGTGGGCCTGCAGTGGAGGAGTCTGCRTGGGGTGACACTGCAGTGAGAAGTTTTTACCAGGCTTGGGGAGGGAAGGAGGAAAATGGGACTGAGGTGCTCAGACCTGTGTGAGAAGGAGCTCAGACTGTGTGAGGAGCTCAGATGTGCTGAGAAGGTGCAAAGCTTAGGGGCAGCAAATGCCCACATGATCTGAGTAGTGTTAGGTATGGTCCAAGGACTGCTGGCAGGTTGAGACTGCCAGGTGTGAATATACAGCATCCTTACAAGACTGGGTCACTTCCTTGCCATATACAGTACTCTCCCCTTGTATGTTCAAGGATTACATTCTCTGTATGTACAGCATTATTTGAGAGTTTATGCTGGGGTGGTTTTCCTCTTGTTACTGCAAGCTTCTCAACAGAATCCAGGCCTTTGCTCCATAAATGCAATGTATGTCATTGTTTTTCCAAAATAATAATCACCTTAAGTGGTTAATGGTATTAAAATATTATRGGGCTGGTATATTTTAACAAAGCAATTTAAATTACTCTTATGGTAATCTGTCTTTAGTATCTGCAAGTGAAACAAACTATTTATGAGCAGCAGGCTTTGCCACAGATTTTGTATAATTCTCACAGCTATAAAACTACTAAACAKTTTTGGCCCATGAACTGAGAACTTTGGCACTCTGCTCACTGACACCACGTAATAACCATCACAACTCCTTGGAGACTGCTCTGTAAACCAGTTTGTAAATCCAGCTCATTCATTTTATGTCTGTATAATATGGTACGAAGTCAAGTGCCTTAAGGGAATCTGAATATATTCTGTGAGAACAGTTAYTTTATCAGCAGTACTTGGAGTCTTCCAAAAGGCAAGGAAAACTGTTATATAAAGGTTTTTGACARTAAGGGTTTGTGACACTGACACTTKCAGTGATGCTGTTGGCAATTCAGTATTTGGTGGGTCTTAACCTATGCTTTTTCCAAGTTAGAWCATTTATAGCAGGACCACACAATATAAGATTCTTATTCTCCTTTAACTATCCTCAGACCAAATGGCAGTGGCACAAGAAACCCTCAGTCACTTGTATCAATCATACTTTTATAATAGCAGTAGGAGGAGCTTAATCCTTTCTATACTGAAACTACTGTGATCASCTACTGGTGGCTGGAGCTGGAAGTRGGACAGARTGTGAAGTGGGGCTGTGACAAAGGGCTCTGCCAGCAGATGTAGATAGGCAGTGCACAGAAGGACCAGGACCAGAAAGAGTCCCAGGCTCCCAGGAGCTGCTGCTGAAACTGCAGCTGTTCCTGGTGATTCTATCATGTTTAGGGGCCTCCTCTRTGATGTAATGGGGCAGCTCTGAGAGCTCTTTAGTGGTCAATGCCCTGCCAGCATCCTGCCTCTCTTCTGCTTCCGCTTCCTTCTCCCTTCCTTTCCCCCCAGTTCATTTTATGGTTTGTCTGTCCCCCAGATTTCCTACTCCAGCTTTCCAGTCCCCTCCTGATACCATTACTTTGCTGCCAGCCACTCCACTGTTTTATTTTTCTCCCCATACACTCCCTTCCAGGTGTATGTGGACAAAGGGGAAGAAAGTGAAAAAAAAAGTTTCAGAGCTACTGAATCATCTTCTGTTTTTACAAAGAGTAAGGGCAGCGGAGATGAACGAAGGGAGTAGCTGCTTAATAGTCACCACCATCTGTGCTTTGAACAGCAAGAACCATGATTCTGCTTTCTCATTCATTCTTGTGCTGCGAATGCCCTTCTCATTTTATGGGAATTGAGAAACAACAAGGCTTGGACCATAAGCCTCCTGTTAAATATCAGGCAATAACAGGCTCCCATGACCTTGGTTGTCAGATTCCAAGCTTGAACTGGCCAGATGTGAGACCACACCCAAGCAGAGGCCTTGAGTGATTATACACAAATAGTATTAATTGATAGTAATGCCACAAAAATGAAACCTTTCCACTGTGTCACAAGAGCAAGAGAAATTCCTCTGCATGTGAAATTAGATCTGTTACAGAGTTTCTTGTGAACAGCTGTGATTTGCACCCACGCTGTCTTTTCCCTTTCCTTGGAGAGGGAGGTGAAAAGCAGCCTTTCCACAGCAGTATTTTCCAGATCTCAGGACATTGCATGGGTGCTTCTCTTGTCTGACTTGGGGCAGGGTCTAAACTCATGAGATGAGAGGAAATGAGGAGCATTGTCTCCAAAGGAAAGGAAGTCTGAGCAAGACTCCCATGTTACTCAAATAATTCAATGTGCATCCCTCTGACAAGTGGTTCCTAGAAAAAAAGCCACCAGGCTTTGTATTTTGTTGAAACTGTTAGAATCTTATTGTCTTTGTATCTGTTGAAACTGTTAGAATCTTACTTTCAAACCTTGATTTCACTCGTCACCTGGGCGGACAATCCCTTGAGGGGAATAATACATGAAGATGAGCAGATGCATGGTGGGAAGTTAACATTTGTTGCAAATATTTAACTTGACACCTGGAAAACCGGACTGTTTTTTAAGCAGCTTTGTTTTTTTCTCCTGCAGAAGGGTTGTTGACTGCCAGACTTCTCAAAAGAGGTGTTCAGCGGGCCCACACGTTTGTGTTAGGCAGTGCTTAGCTCAGCCTTTCACAAAATATAAAATGCTGTTTATCATTACAATGTATGGTATGTGAAGACATTGAAAACAGAGTGGAAGGACTATGTTCCTGTCATAGTATGTCCCTTTCAGAATTAAAGTCAGAACTGTTCATCTAGTTCTGCTATTGTAACTCCAGTTATTTGTAAAAGGTATCTCTGAGTATATCAGGCTCRTGTTGTTGGTGAGACAACTTATTTAGCCTTTTAGATAGGACTTTGGAAACTTAAAAATGCAGTCAGTATTTCTGCACACRTCCTCAGTAACCGTCCCTTAAAAATTGTAAATAGCAGTGAGGTTTGTAAATGCATCTGTGCATAAATACACTTAAAGTCTTTATAAATAATTATTAAAAGGTATTTTCTACTGACAGTGTCATGGATGAGAGAACCACAGCCAGTACATCGGTCTCCTTATCAAGTTACAAGCCTGCCTGAAGGGCAGGCAAAATTCCAACYAGTTTTTGCAGTTGAAAGTACATCTATCTTTGGTATCATGAAGTAGAAAATGTAGCTCTTTGGCATGAATTTATATGCCTGTTCTTTTTCTGCACAGAAAAAAGAAAAGTTAACATTTTGATCACAACCATCTTTAAACGTATTTTACGCTCTGGAGCCAGAGAAATTCTAGGATGCTGGACAATCGAATTCCTAATGAGGCTGATATTCATGGCATCCCATGTGGGTAGAAAATGTATGAACAATATGTAATTCAAACTTCTTAGTTTTTTAWAATTAATTTACTGATGATCCTTTTCAAGTATTATCATCACAGTTGACCAATGTAATAAATATTTCATTTCACAAAATTGCAGACTGGCTGAGGTTGGAAGGGACCTGGAGGTCCTCAGGTTAAAGCCCCCTGCTCAAGCAAAACCAACTGTGTCCAGATGGCTTTTGGCTGTCTCCAAGCATGGAGACTCCACAACTTTCCTGGGTATTCTGTACCAGTGCACACTCACCCTCATAGTGAAAAACAAAATTGTTTCCTGATGTTCAGATGAAGCCTCCTGTGTTTCAGTTTGTGCTCATTGCTTCTGGCCCTGTCACTAGAAATAGGCTGGCTCTGTCCTCTTGGCACACTTCCTTCAGGCATTTATAGGCACTGATAAGATCCACCCTCCATACTTTCTCTTCTCTGGGATAAACAGTCCGAGCTCTTTAGAACTTCTCTTATCAGGAAAGGCTTCAGTTCCATCATTTTTGTGACCCTTTGCTGAACTCCCTCTGCAATGTCTAGTTCTCCCTTGTACTGGGGAGCCCAGAACTGGATACAGGACTCTGGATGTGGCCTTCKGAGTAGGAGGGAATAATTATGTCTGCTGGCAATACTTTGTTTAAAACAGACCACGATTCC